GTTAAAATAATGTGATAAATCATTTTAGTCTTATTATTTTTACATGCATTGTATAGAATTACTGAGGCATAGCCATTTAGCAAGTGTATAAATGAATGTGCTATAAGGAAAGGAAAAAAATGATACCAATGAGCAAAAGAAAAACAAAATAAAACAGAAATAGCTCGAACTGTGATTTACTATGAAGGCTATTTGACTTCATTTCAACTGTGAAATATTTTGAGGGGTTTCAGTATCTTGATACTTTAATGAGATTGGATACTTTTTTAACTAAAAGATTTTACTAGCATATATTAATTGTATAAAATAAGGGTATGGAGCGGGTGACTCATGCCTATAATCCTAGTGATTGGGAGGATCATGGTTCGACCCCAGCTTTGGCAAATAGTTTGAGAGACCCCATCTCTAAAGCACCCAGACCAAAATGGACTGGAGTTATGGCTAAAACGATTGAGTGTCTGCTTTGCAGACACTCAAAGTACAAAAAATAAAATACAAGTACAAAAATAAAATAAAATAAATAAAGGTATGAAAATGTTATGATGAGACTGGATGCTTTTGAGTGACTGCAAGATAAGAAGCTATGTTTATTTGGTATTTGACAAAATAATCTCTGAGGAAGAAGCTATCCAACTTTTCCCTTTCTCACCACTATAGCTTGGTGTTTTTTAAGTCACTCAATAATTCACCCTTCTGGTAAAGACTTCGTGAGGAAAAAATTGCACTAGAGGTTCTAACCCTGATCAACTTAAAAATCTTATAAAACCAGTTCTTGCTTATACACTCTGAGTAAATAACAGCTTTCACTCTTAGCAGCCAAAGCTCAATTACACACCAATGGAGTCTTTTGGAGCTCTTAGAACTTTTTTCTTTAAAAAGTTCTGAGGCTAAATTATACTTGGGTTCTTTGTATTGAGAATATGCTATCTAAGAAGCCATTATCCATGGGCTAACTCTCTTTGAATGAAAAGTAAAAGCCCACTTAGCTCCAGCAACTAAAACTTGCCTTTTAAAATGGGTTACTTTTTCTTCTCTGTATACACGTAAGTTTCCTTGGGCTGTTCCAATGTGAGTTGTATTTCCATCAGCTAGTGTAAGAGCTCCACCCATAACAAATAACTCGTGGAGACTTCACAAGAAATATACTGGGCTGGTGTGTACTGGCTAAGTCTTAGGCAGCCCAGGTGGGCCCCAGGGCTTGGCTTGACCACCTCAGGGCTGCCTATAACCATTTCTGCCAGGCCCTTCCAGGGCCTGGGTGCCCACTACTGCTACTGTGGTTGGGAGGAGCTAAATGGCGAATAACAATCTCTCTGTCCTCTGTGGGTGATGCGTCCTTAGAGAGAAACAAGAGCACTACTCTTGCTATGTGTGCCAAACACCACAGGGAGTTTGTGGTAAAACAAATGCCACCATGTTTGCTTAGAGCCCCTTCTGGCCTAGAGGGTCCCAGAGGAGTCTTTGCTCAAGCCTCTCTGTCATTCACAGCCTCAAGTTTAGACCTTTGATGTGATTTCCAAGTGACGTTAATGTACAGTCTCAGAGGGGCGTTGTCTGGACTGCAAGAGAAAACACTTATCTTTAAAACAAGTCTAACTCTAGACACAAGACGTCTAGTTCTTCATAAATTCACATACCTCTAAATCCGGTCATTTCCTTGGGAATATCATAATACACACAACAATTTTTTTGTTATCAGCTACATTTTTAAAGCACAATAATTTTTTGTCACAAGTTTTGACACTTAATTTCTTAATACATAGAAAATTGGAAAATTGGAAGTGGCCCAATATCTCACAAACTCTGACAGGGCCTGGCCCCAGCCCTGACTCTGCCCAAGGTAACTGGCCTGTTGATAGAATCCTTCTTCTCACAATAAATGCTCTATCATCAGGCCACACTGGTTGGCCTGATTTCTCCTCCCAGGGGGTGAATTTGTTCCCACAAGTCTTCTCCATCTCTCTTACAAGATTTCTCTTTGAGGTACCCAAGGAAGCCTGAAGAATTCAGAACAGCTGAGTTGAGGGAACCCCATTTAGGCTAAACCTGAGAGAACAACAGTCAATAGGAGATTACTTTCACTTAACATCTTACATACTGACCGCCCCTCAGCTTCCATGTGGAAAATGTTGCTCACAGCTTTAAAACATCTGAGAACTACCTTAGGGGACTGTGATTAGTGAAAGTGCGTACTTGTTAAGTCCCAGACTGTGGCATCTTCAGAGAGATAAAGGACAGCCCTTTCAGCAAGCTCCGTTGGTCCAGTTCTGAGTGTTCTGGATTCCAGTTCTAAGAACTCAAACTCATACAATAAATACTGCTCTTGGTTTCAGAACTTTTGAGCAGAGGAGCAATAGAAAGGCAGTGTTGGTAAGGGCCAAAGGAGACTTTTGGATCTTTCTCCCCATCCAGTTGTTGAGGAGCTAAGGATGAAGGAGCAGACACCAAATCCCTTGGGCTAGGGACCACCAGAGTCAGTTCCAAGGCAGATGAACGTGGACGAACTACCAATCCTCTGGCGCCAAGGCTGTGTCATTTCTCACTTCACCTGTCTATGTCATCAGCTCTAAGCACCAGGATTTGAAATTGAGCTTCAGCCTACTCTAGAGGGTCAACTAGAACTTGTCTATGAATACTGAAAATTTACTAACAGTGTATCTACTTTGAGTCATAGCTTCTTGAAAATGGATTATACTCATTAGCTTCTAGTCACTGGAACAAAGCAGTCTTCCTAATAACTCTTAACAGAGGAGTTAGCTGAGGAAGGAAGACCTGTCAAGACGTTTCATTGTAAGCGGTAGCATTAAGGAAAGCTCAGTCTTAGAGCTGAGGGGTTTTATTCTGTTTTGTTTTGTTTTTTTAGTATCTCACATGATTTAAACACTTTGTTCTGGGTTATATAACTCATTCCTCTTTATGCTTAGATTTTTCCATCTAGAAATATAAAAAAATTTTCTGCCTTCAAATGTAGATAATTAGTAAGCCTGTTTTAAATACTAGGAATTTCCTGGATAAAAGAAATTGTAGAAGTTTAAAATATAAAGAAGTCAAAGGAGGATTTCACAAATATTATTTAGATAAACCTCAACCTCTTGGTAAACAGACTAAGATATGATCCAAATATTAGTGACTGGAGACATTAAGTGACTTTTCAAAAATCATACAGCCAGGTGACATGATGCATTCATTTCTACATGTAGTTGTAGAATTGCTTTTGAGTGCCAAGAAAAAGTATAAGATAAGTTAGAAAATTTTGTGCAGGTAATAATAAAGGGTTTACATTTATTGAGATATATACTATATTACATAAATCTAAGCCATATTCAACTGAGGTTTTAGGGAAACCTTTAGGTTTTCTATTCTATATAATGAAGTTTTATTTAGATTAAACTTGAAAGCAATTCGTGGTATTCATTGATCATTTCTTTACAACAACACAAACAATTGTACTTCGAGTTGAATTTTGTGTATGTATTCAATTTTTGCAAGAATTTAGACACATTACTTTCCTTGGAGTTAATTATGAATGTGTACAATAAAGCTGTGAATGAATACTGTACTTTCAGAGCCATATCAAAAATAAAATCATCAAAAAAGAGGAGGGTGGAGGTGTAGTTCAAGTGATAGAGCACCTACCAAGCCTAGCAAGCAGAAGGCCCTGAGTTCAAACCCCTGTACAGCAAAAAGAAAAAAAAAAAAGATCAAGTTCAATGGTTACTGTAAAAGCCCCTATCCTGGACAGGAATTTTTGTGACACTGCAACATAGTGACATCCCTTAAGTAACCTCCATTAGTTAACTACCTCGCTTGCTCTGCTGCTTATACTGCAGCTCAATTTCCTAAGAGTTTCTAGAAAAGAACAAGTTTTTTCCCTTTTCTCCCCAATACAAATTTGCTTGCCTGCTCTTAGGGATCTTCTGAGTCAGCCAGCAAGCCTTTAGAGAAAGGGACAGCTCTGCTTGAGAAGAGAGACATCATATCGAAAGATGGCCTCAGGTAGCCATCCTTAGCTAGAAGTGGTAAAGCAGGAGAAAACTGAGCTGAAAGCAGGTCAGGAATGAGTGACAGCATCTTCAGTCCCCAGAGGGAACCACTTCATCTCTATATGGGGGGTTGTGGATTCAATTCCAAAATCAGGCAAACCTCACAACCCAAACGGATATGTAGACCCGCTCCAAAGCCAAAGAAAGGCAGATGCCTTTGGTACCATTTAGTGTTTTAGAATATTCATGAAATTCCAATGTGGCTTGGGATTAAGAATGATTATGAGAAGCAGAGCTGGGGAAACTAGTAGGAAGTATTTGTATTTGATTTCATTTCAAGTTACAATTAGTTTATATTCCTTCGCAAGCTAACTAAATGAACAGAAGAGACAGCAGTGTATTTGTGGGAATCATGAATGTGAAAGCAAAGACAAGAATTTGGACTAGGAAAGATAACAAATGAATTAAAAACTTCCAAATTTCACTTCTGGAAGGAAACAGTTTTAAACCAGCCTCCTTTTGAAAGGCCAGTTTTAAGGAAAGCAGAAGTAAAGATGGGGTCCCCGTTTTGTAGTCACTAACAATTAAGTTCAGGAGAAAGTTCTGTTCATTGATTACATAACTAAGTCATTTTATGAAGTCCACTTAAAAATGCTGATTTTAAAACGATGTTTATAATAGTCACTTGTTATATATTGTCCATTTGTGGGAATAAATGAGAAAGTTGTGTGTGTGTGCAAAATTGAGGTTGCTGATCAACCTTTCCAAAATGAAAAGACTTACACATTGTATTATGTAAACGCAACCGATGGGACCCATCAGAGCAGTGGTGGCTATGTAACTCACGTTTTTAACAGAAGTCCCAAGAAGACTTCAATCCTCACGTTACAGTTTGCGTGTCCCATCAGACCCCGGCTCGCTCTCATGCCCGCGCCCCCCGCACTCTCACCGCCCGGGGACCTCGGGCACAGCGGTCCCCAGGCCATCGCCGCCCGCCCGGCCCCGGGCGCACTTTACCTCCCGCGCAGGCAGGATGCCGGGCGCCGCGGGCTCCGGAGCTGCCATCCGTCTCCGCCTCTCTCCCTTTCTGGCTCAGCAGATTGGGGCCCTCTGTGTTTTCAACAGGTACCATGGTCACGTAGAAGTTAGAGCCTCTCCCTCGCCACCAAACCACCCCGACCTCCCCCGCTGACAGCAGTGGTCACTTTCCCCATGGTAGCATGCTAAAGAAGAGTGGAGAGGGAGGGAAAAAAAAAAAAAAAAAAAAAAAACTTCGGGCAAAGCCGGGTGGTTTATGACCAACTTTGTTTCTATTTCCGAAGGCTTTGCCCTTTGCAGTGACACAGGCTGTTGCTATTCCAAGCAGCCTATCACAGGCAGGGGGAGGGCCGTGGCTCCTGGACTGTTTTTGCCTGTAGATGCAGAGTTGGAAGCAAGAGGTTAAACGACTTGGGAACAGGACCCAGACGCAGGGCTTGGCCACTAACTACGGCTCTCTCTTGTGTTCCTGCACCTTTGAAAAGAGGCACAGAGAAGAAACACGCAGATTGAAATGCAAGCCGAGAGGGCGGACGGAACACTCGCAGATGGTACCAGTCACTCTCCTAGAAGAACAATTTATGCGAAGGCATACTGGAAGGAGAAGGGTGTTAATTTTTTTTAGCAAGATTGTTATTGCAACGGTCATGACATTTACCACCATAACCAAACCATAAAAGCATCATCGTGTCAACCAGATTTGGGTCTAGATAAATGTCTAATGTCCCCCTCTCTCCCAGACCTCTCAGACAAATCGAGGCCTGTTACCAATTCCAAACGCACACCCTTCAGACTTTTTCCACCCTGAGATTATAGCAAAGCAGTCCATTTTTAATACACGATTGGCTAACCCTGAATTTTCCGTGAAATTGCAAGCTTTCCTGGGGAGAAGGATACTCCCCATCAGAGAGGCGAGACTACATGACCCATTGTGCAGGTGTGGCAGTCACGTAATAGGAAGCAAATCAGGCCATGGGAGGGCCTGGTTTGGGAATATGTTTACATGATCAGTCTTACAGAGCTATGGCATTTTGTCTCCAGTTATGCACACACATCTGTCTATCAAATCGTATTCATTAAACTCTAACAGAAAAAACTGATATCACCTTAGAAAATCATTTGGAGTGAAAACTAAAATTTATGAAGTACGTATTTGTCAGAAATTGTGCTAAGTAAATGAACATGACTGGTTCTTCTTGAAAAAAAATGAGGCAGTTGCTGATATTACAGAAGAGAAAAATGGAGGCTGAGTAACCTTGGCTCAACTCTCAGAGCTGGTCAGGACGGGAGCTGAGATTACAAAGCTAAGAGGCTTTTTTTTTGGAGACAGGGTCTCACTATGTAACCCAGGCTGGCCCTGAACTCATTATGTAACCTATACTGGTCAGGAACCTGTGATCCTCCCTTGTCAGCCACCTGAATGCTGGGATTACAGGTATGTGCCACCATGTCATGAAATCTTTCTTTCAATCCTAGTCATTCCTGTGAACAGGGAAGCACATTTGTGCTTGTGTAGGCAGCAGGTGATCTGTCTTTGCTTATTTTGGGACATAGCCAAATTCTTCCTTATCATTTCTATATTTCTATACTCATTAGTATGTATTTCTGTGCTTTTCTTATTCTTTAAGGAATCATAAAGCAAATGGATGCAAATCTATATCATTCAACTAGTATTTAATATGTACCTGTTATATGTCTGCTGACACTCCTGGGAAATGAAGCCTTCCAAGCATAGCCCAGTCTGCTGCTGATTAAGGAGGAAGAAGTTCAAATCCCACAGATCAACTTGTCCCCACTAAAGATGGCTTCTAAGCTGCTGTTATTTATTCCCAGAGTGCATTACGATTGTAGGAACTGTAGCGTTTATCTGTGAGACACACGCATTTCTCTTCAGTTCTGCATATTCTCTTGGCTTCTACTTTATGCTCAGAACTAAGGGCCTTGGCAGGGGGACAGTGTTCTTGTCTATAATTGCTTTGTTTCTTGACCCCCAGGACCTGTGTCAGCAGGAAATGATGGAGTGTTTCCTGTAGCAATTGAGTAGGCACAAGACAAACCCAATTCCGTAATACCTTATTATGGTTAAAAGCAATTCTTGCTCTGCTTTCTGTAGCTGAACTATGCAGGGACTCCACAGGCATAAACCACAAGTCAAAAGGAATAAGGAAACAACCTGACTGACCACATTGCCTCCTGGTGCACCAAATTCTGTTCCTTGTGCCACTGATGGCCTGAGAAGGGTCACTGGCTAGCTCAAGCTCACTTCATTCTCTTAAATCAGAGAAAAGTTTAGAGGGGAACATTTCTTTCACCCAGACAAGACAGGAACATTTCCTCTGTCTTAGCTCCCTTAAAACCCCTACGTCTCTCCTTCCCATTATTTTATATACTTATAATGAATTTATTGTAGTTAAATGCAGTGACTTGATTAAATCTGCCTTTCCTGTTAGATCCTAGGCTCCACAACGCATAGACCATCTTCATGTGGTCTACTCCACCATCCCAAGTGCCTGGCCTACAGTAAATTCTTGGTTGATATTGTTGGCTCTGTTGGGGCTCAGACCACAACACTCCAGTGTAGCAGCTTGGCATGCTGGGCACTTGGAGCTGAAGGATGTTGGAAGAACCTAAGAAGCAAAGTTTGTCAGACCTTCTCCTGCTCATGGCTTTTTCTCTTAAAGCAAGTGATAAAAATAAGAATTCTTGTTTCCCAGGATGAGTCATAGAAACTAGAACTGCTCTTCTTCAAAGCAAGCCATAAAACCTGGAAAGGTCATTCTCTTTCCCTTCTCCCTGGGAAGAGGGGTCCTGTCCATACTAGGGAGAAAGGAATGCTACGTAGAAAGGCCAAGAATCTGGACTGGTCTTGCTGGGTTTCCCACTAAGTTTATTCCTATTAGACGACACCCTTTATGTACATTCACATTTCTACCCACTGTCCATTCTTCATTGAACCTAAGCGTAAAAACAATTTTCCCTGGGGCTTCAGATCTTCATTTCTGAAGGCTCCTGTGTCACACAAAATTTTGATGAAATGAATGTGTTATGCTTGTCTCTTGTTAACCTGATTTTTGTTATCATTTTGTCAGCCCTGACCCTTACGATGTGTGGTGGAGAAAGTTATCCCACATTTATATCCCCACAGCTAACAAACAGATCCCTGTAAACCAAATAAACTTTATCATCACTAAAATGTGAGCTCCAAGAGAGCAGGCAGCTATGTTTGTCTGTGCATTCATGTATCTCTGTATCCACATTCTTAAGACAATACCAGGTCCGCTAAAGATGCTCAACTAATATTTGTCAAATAAATGAGTGCTCACAAATGGAGCTTTTACTGAGCCAAGTTTCTATGTAGTTTTTAAATATCAAAACCTGTGTGATGATTGCCTGTGACACTTTGTCCTTCCTCTCTCCTTTCTGCCATTCCCTTTGGTGTCAGTGTCACCACAGGAAGTCCGTCTTCCCTGGAGTGGGGTCCACGCTGTCATTAAAAGGTATTCCTCTACTCAGTGAATAGATAATGACCATCAGCAGACAGATAGTTCATTCCCCAGGGCCACAATAATTTTGCTACAGACATACTAAACCACTGTTTATAGGCCATGCTACCAAGTCCAATACACTTAGCATGATTACAAGCTGACAAGTCAGTGACGTAACTGCTTTACTTTGTGAAGTAAATACTGTTACCTCCATTTTGCAGAAATCAAAACTAAGAAGTTTGTGAAACATGCCCAAGATCAAAAGACATTTCTTCAATGTTTGATTATGACAATTTTGAGTCACACAAGAAAAGTTAGATTCTGTAAAATTTTAATGTGCTTGACCATACTCCCAACTATCGGCCAGTTCCTCTATCTAGTGACTGATTCATTTTAGTTTTTATACATTTTAAAATAAGTTGAAATGCTTCATATGCATATTATCAGCTGGGGATCAATATTTGTTTGTGTTCTTTTTTTTCTCTTAGGCAAGTTTTACATACAATGCAAGGCACAAATCCTAACAGTACTTTTAGATTTATTCAGGATAAAAGACAAACTTTCAACCCAAACCTCTAGTAGGTTACAGAACATCCCAGAACATTCCTCCATGTCTTTTCTGAGTATATTCCCACCCCAATCTCTAGAAGCAACCAACATTCTGGTCGTTTTCCACATAAATTCCCTTTGCCTATTCTGAATATTCATGTAATGGAAGAGTATTGACGCTTGTATAAGGCTTCTTTTACTGAGTGTAATTTGACATTTATCCATGTTTTTGTGCATGTTAGTAGTACATTCTGCTTATTGCTGAATAGTATTCCATGGGCAAATGCACTAGTTTATCCATTTTCCTATTGATGGACACCTGGGCTGTTTCTAATTTTTGGCTATTATAAACAAAGCTGTTATGAACATTCTTGTACAAGTCCTTTTGCAGAACATAACATTTCAAAGCACAGCAGTCCAAGTGTGTTTGATTTCAAACCCGCATGCTTTCCACTACACCCCGTGGCTTCCCTGTAGGGCATTACATTTATGTGGAATGCATCTCTGGAGGTTTTAATCCTAAAAGGGTTCATTGCAATGTAAACACAAATGAAGGAATAAGATCTTTACACAAATAAACAAAACTCCAGATACAAATTCAGCTCTTTATTACCCATATGTCAATAAAATACTTACCCTAGTATGACTAATTGGAAGGCTATTTATTATATCATCTGTTTATACTGGCTAAATAATTCTGCCTTCTAAACTTTTTCATATGTTTAGAATATTGTCAATCACAATATTGATTAAAGTTCCTTCAGTTATAAAATAAGTATAGTTACATTCATTATATGCCTATTTAATGTGGTATTGTATAAGTCATTAAATGAAAGACGATATCACCATAAAAAACATGTCATATCTATTATTTTCACTGGGAAAATCAGTAGAAACTTTCAAACTCAATACTATTACAATGTTTTTGGAAACAAACATATGTATCGTTCAAGACTAGAAGGGAACTCAGAAAAAATGAAAATAATTGATATATTGGGGTGGTAAATCATGTATAGAAGGTACCCTATCTCAAAAATACCAACACAAAAGAGGACTGGAGGTGAGGTTCAAGTGGTAGAGCACCTGCCTAATAAGTAGTGCAAAGCCCTGAATTCAAGCCCTAGTACTGCAAAAAAAAATTGTATGCTTTCTGGGGGTATAGACATTT